GTCGGCAGATCATCGCCTTTGGCGGGCAGATGGAGACAGCCCACTTCCGGCCAGGCAGGAAAGTCACTGAAACCATGGCAGGGAAAGGAACCCCGCCCATTGTAGAGGTGTGAATGTTGAGGTGCGGATTGAATTGCAACAAAATTGGAGATAAAGTAGTGGAACAACACAATGCCTTTTTACTGGGTGAGCAGTCATTTCTTCCCACATGCAAACAAGCTAAAATGCAAATGATTAGCTAGCCCCAACCCCTACTACACACAGCTCAGTCCCTTGACCAATTTTTCAGCGCAACCGCCTCCCGCTTTCTTCTCCAAAAGAACTCAGAAAGCTCATCCCCATGCCAGAAAATCCACTTATGAGTCACCTGGCTATGTCTCAAAGATCGGGTGCCACCCACCTCCCGGCCTGGTACTTCTGGCCATATCTTCAGCCACTACGTATTCAGCAGAAGCCACAAACACCTATTTGGATGCAGCCACACTCACAACTACGTATTCAGCCCCACACACTCAGAAAGCTCATGCTTGGCCTTCCTTTTTGGAAGAAGAGCCTCCCCCTCCGGAGTGCAGGAGATGTGGTCCTCTTCACCATGCACAGCATCCACGGGAGCTCGGTGAATTGCACCGACCGCTATCGGCTCTCCATGGACTTCCGTGTCCGGGCCGAGCGTGTTTCAGACGTGGAGCAGTCTCAGAAGAAGGGGAGGCCAGAATGAGACCCGAGGGGAGGAGGGAGGGGCTCTTTTAAGAAGGTTCAGTTGATTCAGTTGTTTGAACGGACCTTTTCTGGATGTGCTTTGTTCTTTTCACGAGTTGACTGATCAACACCGAACACCCCTACAGACGCAAGAAATGGATCAGGCCATGTTGCTCACCTTCCTCGTGGGTAGAAAACCGCTTCTTCAGGGGCCGAACAAAGGGAGGGTGAGCGAAGGGTCGAAGTACCTGGGCCCAGGGATCTGGAGCCAGTGTTGTTGTCAGGGAAGGTGTCGTTTTGGGGCACTGTATAAGTAGACTATATATAGTAGACTCTACTATGAGCGTCCATAGCTTGCCTAGGCCTAATCATCCTGATAGGTAAGCAATCCTTCTTCAGTTCACCTCGGACAACTTTACTCGATGTGTTATACTTTTTTTAACCAACTGGATTTTTGGACCCATGGGGGAGAACTGACAACATGGACCCTGCATGAAGAACTGAAGCCCAAACCAGGCTTTTAGACTTCGTGACATTTAACTCCAGTAGTTTCCAGACATGTCCAGACTGCCTCCCCCTGGAATTCAGCAGAAGATTTCTGTACTTCTGAATGTGACGCCGCGCGTAAGTTTGATCCAACTGCGCGCTTCGAGGGGGAATACAGTACAACAGAGGTCCCAGCACGACTGCTCCCGAGTTGGTCCGGGTCGAAACCCGGAGGCACCAGGGACAGCCCTCGGCGGAAGGTGATTGGTTGCAATTTGATTTGTTGCCATTGGCCTATACCAGAGGTTGAAGAGCCCTATAGACTATCCCATATGGGTACCCCAGTAGGGCGAGTAGGGTCCCTTGTCAGGTCACACAAAATCTCTCTTGGTAGTCTTAGCTTTTCCATGCTCTACCAGGTATATCAGCCGGGCAACATGATCAAATCCCCATCCTTAACACGAATCATAGATCCTGGTTAACATTAATATCTAAGTGAGTTGGTAGTTGGTAGATTAACTTGTGAGTTGGAAGATTCAAATCCCCAGCTTTACCATCTCTACCAACTCACTTCACCCGGATCTAAGAAAGTTCCGGAATTCTGATCCATCGGTCCATCGGAGAACCTCACAGGCAAGTCTCACCAACCGTCACCCCTGCAGTCACTGCAGTTGGTCTAAGGAAGCAAGTCCACCTCTACCACCAAGCCTTAGAGGCTGTGTGGATCCATGGGGATGCCTCTTGAGGTTCCCCATGAAAGCATCTCCAAGCCGAAGACGGTCCAAGCCTCGTCCGTGTTCGACCAGACCCGATGTCCTGGGAGTCGCCACTTCTCCATGGCGAGGTGGTCGCGCTTGCGACATGACGCAGCAGAGTTCCCACGGACCATGGAAGAGGCCCCGAAAGATGTTTGGCCCTTCATGCGTGGTCCTGGACTCTGTTTCCCGCCCAAAAACTCCTTCTCAGACCCTGGATTTGGATTTGGAGAATGGCTGGGGTAGGTTCGAAGGCTAGACCTGAGGAGCTTGCGTCCAAGTTAGGTGTTTTCCACCTGAATAGGCCGAGTTGAGGCAGCCCCCAGCAGCTATGGTATGAACAAACAAAGTTGTTGTTGCTGGTGCACCACCACATCATCCCTGATCAATGAGGTACCACATATATATATATAATGGGGTGTGCCGTAGTAAACTATTCCAGGTCCAACCGTGAGTTCATGGAATATTTGTTTAGATTATGTTTGATCGACTGTTTTTCAACAAGGGGTATAAGGGGGTATAACTGGGGGTATGACCTGGAATATTTATCAACATAGGATTCCTACCAAGAAGTTCAATGAATGTTCAAACTTTTCAACAGGTATGTCTCAAGCCGGTCAATGTAATTTATTAGCGAATTCGCACAGATCTAAGATGATCCAAGTTGGATTCCAGTTTTTTTTAATGTTGCAGGAATCACGTGGCATCCAAAGTGGGAAATCTGGAATCAAAAAAACAAGCAAAAAAAGAGTGCGTCAAACGTGAGATGGATTGAGATTGCCTTGAGATTTTGGATACCTGGTATAATCGAACATTCTTGGACGATCTATGAACGCAATTTCCTTAGAAATATTTATTGTGATCATGTGCAACCATGCTGGAATAATAAACATACCATAAATATTCTGCATGTGAATGAGTTCCGGAATATTTATTGAATCGATGTGCCACCATGCCAGAATATTTCCGAAAATATTCCAAGGGTTCTGCACGGGGGGGTTCTCTAAGGGCCCCTCCGTTATATATATATATATATACAATGAACCACTTACTAATGACGTGATCAAGCCAGAGCCACTCGTAGGATTCGAAGACGATGTACTCGTCCCTCAAGAGGTAACTCCGTAGCTGTCCGGCACGGAACGGTCGGAGCGTTGACTCCTTTGTCAAAAGGTCCAGGGATGTCCAGGGTCAAGCACCTAGAACGATGTGCCTCTTGGAAACACATCGTTTTCTGTGTATTGTAGAGACTTGATGAATAAATCTACCCATTTGGATTCAAACGCCTCTTGATCCGGGGGGTTGATTCATATACACGCGCTTTACATAGCAGTGGTTATTGAGGTTCTGTTCTTCCACACACCGAGTCACAGTGCCAGGCCAAAGCAGCCTGGAAGCTACTGCCCTCAGGCGCCTCGCTTTCTCGGTCCCGCCACTGACAGCAGTGGTGGATGATAGTATGGGGGAGTCCAAACGGAAGTTCAGGGCTTGACTGTTGAGGAACACACCCCAAGGGCCCCCCCCCCCCCCCTCCCAGCTGGATGCTCCAAGGATCTTAATGGCTCCGACCTGGCCTAGTAGCTTCTTGTTCCTAATAGCGCTGGCCTCCAACCTACTTGCGATGGCCTCGGTGCGAGCATCGCGTCCTTGTTACGGTCGCTCCTACCTGGCCCGCCTGGAGCCAGGCGCCTCCTCCCGCAGCTGCGGAGCGTCACCGGAGCTTCGAAAAGAGGGGACGACTCGCGAGGGGATTTCTGCGTGGGAGATGGGTTTGTGAAGGACAACCACCAAGAGTGCTACATCAAATCCATTTAAGTCCGCTCTTACAAAACACATCGAACCATGTTTGGAAGGAAAACGATTTGAGTCGGTTACACCCTAAAAAGGGGTGGCAAACCAAGTTGCTTCACAAACGGTTTGTGCTGCTATTGGAAGCCATTTTGCTGCGATGTAATCCGTAGCAGGTGGGAAACTTTGTTCCACAAAGAGTGGCCTGGAATGACACGGGGTGCCCCCAAAACAGAGGGCCCAATTCCCAAAAGCCTTTTGACCCTGTTGATTTGAGCTTCATTTGACTATGCCATCCTTTGGGTTCTGAGGGCCCTCCGAAAAACCGCGGTTTCTAGTTCTATGAGACCGACCACAGGGGGGTTGCTGGGCTTCAGAAGCTTGTTGGAAGCGCCAGTCGGAGGATCCCGTCAGGGTGGGTTTTTGGCTGCTGTTCCACCCTGTCAGCGCTGTGTATTTTTTTTGAGAGTCTTCAAGAAGTGGAGAACTTTCCCACTGGTTTCCCCCACAGAGACCGTCCTAAGCAAATCCGGTTGCTTGATCCTGGGTTTTCCTCTCGAGCTTCCGGACCCCTTCGGGTCAAACTCGTGGTTCCAATGAGCAAGATCATTGGTTCTCCTGACTCGTGGGAACTGGAATCCATGACTCGTGTTTCTCCTGAAGTACGTGGATCACCTGCCAGGACCTTCTGTCAGGATTCGTGTCTTCAACATGAGCATTCGAGACCTCCTTTGACACCTGATGGACACTTTGGAGCACAGCGTCCAGTCATCGTACTGTACTTGGGGAGAGAAACTCCGCAGTTGGTGTTTTATCCATTTGTTACCAACTCCGCAGAGTTCACTGTTTTCTTTGATAATACATAGTAGATATCGTACCATAATTAGTCCTTATCAAGATTTGGAGACCAATTCAAGAGTGGTAGTGTTCACCTTCAAGTTTCTTCAAAGTTGCCTCAGACCTGTGCCGAGAGGTTGGTATTGGTGGTTGAGCACATTCAGTTGGATGCACATCCATGTGCCACTTCGCTGCGATTCGGTCACTTCGCAGTCTAATTCAAGGCAAGTGGGTGCAGACTTCAACAGATTGTAAGAAGATGTAAGAATCAAACAGGTGTCCGCCTCCAGATCTCAATAGGATTTGAGGGCTACGCCTATTGAGTTCATTGTCTTGACTTGTCCTTCTGACCTTCTATTGAATGTGTCGGTCTCGCAACAGATCATGTCACTGGCCCCACAGAAATCACATGATATTCGATCCTTCACCAACGGTGCTATGTTGTCCGGCGTGTTACACAGACGCACCGTTCCACGGATGCACGGATGCCCACGTCGCCATGGAGTTGGCGTGCATCGACGATGACTGCAGAGACATGCGGCGAGACATGCGCAAGGAGCTGGAAGAGTGGAGGGCGGCCAAAGGGAGAACGAGGGGCCGCTCGGGCGTCGATTGGAGAGTGTGGTTGTTTTGGACCTCGATGGCCTGACCGTAGCGGTGTTGGTTGATTGGGAAGGCCCTGTTCGTGTAATTACGTAACTGGTACCGGCTCTCTATTTGGCCCGTTCGGAGAGTTTGGTTGCCTTTGCCACTTGTTTTGGACATCCCATGAAATATTTACATAATTATATATATAATTATATATATATATATATATATTTGGTACACCTCCAAAACCTACCTTTTAGACAAGTTCATGTTTGGAGATGATAGTCTATCAGTCAATTGAAAGGGGAATTGATATGTTTTTTTATTGTATTTCAGAAAAGGACGTTATGCAGGTGTGTGTTTTCCAGTGTTCTCGAAAATGCTTGTTTTAGGACTTTGCATGTTGAATGTGTTCAGACATTGAGGACGAGACCTCGTAGTTGTTGGTAGGTGCTCGTTGTGTGCTCGTGAGTAGTAGTCTTCCTAGTTCACTGGATTTGACAAAATAAATGGGTTTGCTTTTTGGTGGTATATCCTTTCTTCTTTTTTGCCGACCCCCCCCACAGGTCACAGGGTGAATGGCATGAAGCTCCCACAGCTCACCCGCACAGGTCAAAGGGTGAATTGTATTAGCATCACAAGTGTCATTAGCATTGCCATTGCCATTAGCATAACCATTGCTACAAGTCACAGAGTGTGTGGCCTCAACCTCCCACAGGTCACAGGGTGATTGGCATCAAGGTCCCACAGCTCACCGGGTGAATGGCATTATCATCACCATTGCATTTGCATTGCCATCACCATTTGCACTACTATTGCCGCAGGAATTGGCATTGCCCTTGTGATCTCTATTGCCACAGGTCGAGGGTGAACGGCATCAAGCTCCCACTCTCACAGGTCACAGGGTGCATAGCGCCCACAGGGAAAATTGCGTTCTGGTGAAAGGCATCAAAGTCACACATACCATTGCCACAGGTCAAGGGTGAATTACCATTACCAGTACCAGTAGCATTGCCATGAGCACTACCATTGCTATTGGCGTCAGCATCAAGCTCCCAGAGGTCACAGAGAAAATGGCATTATGGTGAATGGCATCAAGGTCCCACATAGCATTGCCACAGGTCAAGGTGAATGGCCATTAGCAGTACTATTTGCCTCGACAAGAGCATTTCCATTGCTATGAGCATCAGCATTAGCATTGTCATTAGCATTCCCAGCGCCATAAGCATTAGCATCAAGCTCCCACACGGGATGGCATTACCGTTTGCATCAGCATGGTGAATGGCATCAAGTTCCCACAGCTCATCCCATCACTATTGCCATTGGCATTTCTATTGCCATCAGCATCACCACATGTCAAGGGTAAACAACCATCATTAGCATCCATTGGCAGCACCATTACAATTGGCAACTCCATTTGGATTCCCAGTGCCACAACTCAAGGGCAAATGGAATCAAGCTGCCACAGGTCACAGTGCACATATAGGTGCATAGCTCCCACAGGTCAGATGGTGAATGGCATTCCATAACCATTGTCATGAGCATAACCATTGCCATTAGCATTGCCACACGTCACAAGGTGAATAGCCATTACCATTACCATTAGCATTGCCACCGCTATTGGCATCAGCATTGGCATTGCCATTAACATTGCCAGTGCCACAAGCATTAAAAATAATATTGGTTGCAATCAGGTGTAAATTGCTAGCATTCAGCTTTGGAAACTTTCTGGAAAAAAACTGCTCCGCTACCACGTGCAATACTTGCTGGCATGGCAAAGATTCAGTCTTTGAGTCAGCATTTTCATTGTTTGAAAGAACCCACACTGCTTCCAGTGAAGGAGTTGAATCACTTTTTGGGCCACATGCCACAGGGAAAATTTCGTTATGGTGAAAGGCATCAACGTCCCGCATACCACTGCCACAGGTCAAGGGTGAATGGCCATTACCAGTACCAGTAGCACTGCCATGAGCACTACCATTGCTATTAATTAGCATCAACATCAAGCTTCCACAGGTCACAGGGAAAATGGCATTATGGTAAATGGCATCAAGGTCCCACATAGCATTGCCACAGGTCAAGGGTGAATGGCCATTAACAGTACTATTTGCATTGCCATGAGCATTATCATTGCTATGCGGTTCAATTTGTGTTCTGAAATCTCACCAAATCAATGCAAATACCAGTGCAATTGTTCAAAAGGTAGGTATCTTTTTTGGGGGGTGCAGCTTATATATTGTTATATCATGAAATCACTGAAACTAAGGAATCTGGCGGGAGATGTTTTGTGGTATAACCCCCTAAGATGGGGAATCTACAACGTCCCTGTCTAGGAGAAACATGGTGCACTTGCTTTCATTGGATTCTGGCAGGAACCGATGTCAGAGCTGAGAGAAACCTTAAGTTTCATCAAACAAACGTTCCATGATACAGGTAGCAATAGCAAGGTTGTACCAGAAGTTATACTCAACTATCAAAGAAAGTTCAACCATAAAAGGGTCAAAACAATCGATCCCTGGGGGCCTTCGTCATCCAACTGAGGCAAGGAAAATGTCCCGGCGCCGAGCTCTCCATGCAGCCCAGCAACACCACTGACGCCCCGGACCCCACGCCAGCTTCCACGAGAGCTGAAGAAAGCGCATGTCTTGGAGTTTCCGCGCGAGCTAAGCTCGCGCGAGCCCCGAATAGGCGGGGGTACTGATTGGGAACTGATCGAAAGATGGACATGACATTAAATGGGATGTCCTAAGTTCTTTGGAAGATAAATATTAAGATGACCACGTATTTGCTAGATTTCTAGATATTCTGGAGACTTCAGATACAGCATCCAAAAATGTTTGTATCATAGACAATCATAGACATATATATATATATATATAGTTGCATTCGTTGGTTTGTAAGCGCATATTGTTCCAAGTATTTGTTGTTCAGGTTTCAATTTGTTTCATGTCAATTTTTGTGGAGTGCAGTACAACATGTCTGGCAGAATTCCAACGACAAGACACCACCTGCTGTACCTCATGTATCCCTCACAATTCTTGGCTGTGTTTCTGCAAAAAACAATTTGCTTTATATTGCTTTATCGTGCTTCGGAACAAACCCGGTTTATTTTTGTTCCCATTGTCTCTATAGTAGTGGAGATGGTCCATGGAGGTTGGTCTTTTTGTATCGGGCATTTTGCTGAGTGGCGTTTTGCTCAAACACCTTGCTGGGGTCAACTCAGCAAAGTTTTTCGTGAAATCGTTTTGGAGGTTAAAGTAATTTTGGAGGTTGAAGTGATGGGGCTTGGAAATTATGGTTGAAGTGAACATTGTCAGACTTGAGCAAAACTCTCATTTATGTTTCCCTCAACGTGCAATCAACGACCCTTGAGCGATGGGAGTTGTGTGTGGCCAAGACTAATTGAAAACACAGCAGAATGATGGTGAGTCTCCCCCTTGCAAAGGAAGCATTTGTTAGCATGTGTGGGTTCCAAAGAGGGATCCCTGTCCCTGTCTCCACGCTGCATGGTGCTCCCAAACATCCACCAGTCCTCCTTCAATGCAGGCCTGAGCCCAACACCTTTGGGCGAGCGCTTTGCCACACCCCCGCGTCACCACGCGCCGCCGCCCGCGCCGGCGCTGGGCGCGCCGGTGCCGCGTGACCCGGCGCTGGGCGCGGCGGTGGCGGCCGC